CTTTTTTGACACGTTATGCATCGAGTGTGCTATCCACTATCCCTTTAAGCCCACGTTCAATGGCCGTCCACCGTGCCCAATGGCCATCCATGACGGGACATCGGACGAAGGTAACACCCCACATTAAAGTAAATGCACATTTATCCAATCGAAGACAAAATCGGATCGAATAGAAAACCAAACTGGTTTTGCTACATCAGTCAAACACAATTTGCGATTACAGTGGAATCCTGTTATAACGAGAAGAATGGGACCGGTGCAAAATGTCCGTTATAGCAGGATTCTCGCTATAATGGATCCAGCAAAAATTCAAGGGAAATAGTAAAGTAGGCCTAATCTATGAGTATAGTGTTCTGTTTATTCCTTTTTGTACTTCCCCTAAAAATGATTTTGTTCAACATGATCTTTAAGTCTTACTTGATCAAAAATCGAATCAGTTTTCTTTCTCTAGCACTAGCAATGTTGACAGCTCGGCGTTGGCAATCGGAAAGAAGGGGCTCTGGCTCCAGGCTCACTCGCCTGCTGTGTTGCCACCCACCCCACCGCACCCTGTGGTGCGTTGCGTGTGCTTGCGCACGTCACACATTCACTCCATCTATCACAACATTGTGACCTCCCCATCCCGCACCAGAGAAGTGAGAGGGACAGTAGGCCTAGATAATCTAGACTGGGCTGGCCTATCAGTATCATGCGATGCATTCTGCGTGTCTGCACGTGCCACACTGTCCCCACTCATTCGCTCAATTCTTTGTTGGTTCGCCTGGACTCTCCCATTCTTTGTTTCTCTGGATCACAAACAACTTTCTCAACTGGCGATGTTTAATAGGTCTGTGCGCTGTGCACAGCAGCAGCAATATTCCGTTATAACCGACTGGCGTGTTTGTCTGATTGCGCAATAGCAGTATTTTATTTACAAAGATAAAGAAGGGAAAAAAAATCGGGGTTTTAGAATAGTGTCTTTATAACAGACTTCTCGTTGTTTCAGGATTCCTTATAAGTGGACTCCACTGTAATACATGATGATCCAAAATAGGGTGCTCTTTTTAAAAATTGTTTTTGTTTGATTTAGACGGTCAAACAACATAGCATAAACCAAACAAAAGTTTGTTCAAAACGCTTCCCTCAATCACTTATGGTCGAGTGGTTGGAGTTGAGTTGTTACTTTGTTCGGTAAAAGTTTTGCAGCGTTCGTAACTGGACAAATATGAACACGAGTGGTTAGTAATAAAATACTAAGACTTAAAACCAATGTCCAGGGCAACAAGTCGTTTATGTGAGTCACCGTGATATAAGGGTTTTTAGAATTGTTGTCTTAGATCTACGTACAGCGGCAGTAAATGGACGACATCTAGCGAACGAGAAAACCCCCCAGATAAACGATAAATCGCATCCAGTCGGATCAGACAAAATCGAACAGACGAGGTCATCACTCCATAATTACTTGTCTACTAATTCCATGCTTTTGGCTATACAGGGAGTCTGTTTCCAGTTCAATCCCAATCATACCCGGCCAACAAAATAATACAGCCGTGAACCTGCAATAGCAGCCACCTTTATAAGAGCGCGCACGCGCGCGTGTGTGTATGCGTGTTACTTGCTTTTGTATGTATGTATGTATGTATGTATGTATGTATGTATGTATGTATGTATGTGTGTGTGTGTGTGTGTGTGTGTGTGTGTGTGTGTGTGTGTGTGTGTGTTTTCTGATGTCAGACGACTTGTACCAACGGCCACTTCCTATTTCCACCCTGGCATTTTTAAAACCGATAATGACACTGCCCAAGACGTCCAATTGTCTGAGACGGTCACCACTTTCCTCCGCGACAATGGGTGGTCGTCTAAGACAGTTTCGTCTTTCAGCCACACCCCTGATCTTCTGGTAGGAGGAAAGATCTACACCTACCCTTCTCGGACAAGGGGGGAACATCTCGGAGATCCCGTGCGCAAATTGCGCACGTTAAAGATCCCTTGGTGGTCTAAATTCGATAAGAGTAGGCTTCGGCATCCACCCGGCCAAAATTCAAAATTTCCTACCAACTGAAAAATGTTTAATGTGTCCCTCGTGCTCGTATGACCTTATGCAGTTGTGAGCACCGTAAAACACTTTTAAAAAAAAAAGACAGTTTCGACTGTATTCTAACGTCAGACGAGTGGGGACAACCTCCCCCCGCAACTCGCCACTGGCCAGCATGACAGATGGGCGAGAGAGGGTCAGTTTGGCCGGAGGCAGATGGCCAGAAACGGGTTATGGTCAAAACCTTTTAGTTAAAGCGTGTCGGGGAAGGCGGAAGAGATGATGGGGGCGAGAAGCATTCTGTAATGGCGCATAACGTGCGTGTGTGTGTGTGTGTGTGTGTGTGAGTGTGTGTACGTGTGTGTCTGTGTGTGTGTGTGTGTGTGTGTGTGTGTGTGTGTGTGTGTGTGTGTACATTTCACATGAGTGTACTGATAAGTCGTTTTCAAAAC